TATCCGACATGGTGAAAAAGCTCGGCCATAACAGAAATGTTACATTTTGCAGAGACGGAAATTTTGTGTTTTACAATATTTCACAGATAATACAAATCAATTTGTTGCAAATAGCTATGAGAACTTGGGAGAAAAAAATCACTTAATTTCTTAACAAAATGAACTAACTTCAGTTTAGTACAGACACGTCATCAACACAGGTCCCTCAAATTATGCTGAAACATTTCAACCACATTTAGACATTCAAACAAGGAAAGAAGAGAATATTGTAATTAATATTGGTATTGGTCACCTCAGTAAAATATAGTTGATATTAATAACCAATGTTTATTTCCATTTTCATCCTATTTATACATGTGTTTTGAAAGGGGAGATATTGAGCATGTGAGTGTTTGGGCATTTGACGGTGATAGTGACACAGCACACAAGTTTGGCATGTTTAACTAAATTAGAAAGAGATTTTCAGTGATACATTCATTCACAGTCCCAAAAGGGAAGAGAAGTAGATATAATACCATATGATATTAGAAAATTTTGGTTTACGGTTATAGCAGCAATATTGCAAGCAGAAATTAAGTACAACCACAAGTTTTCATTTTGATGCAGTTCAAACAGAATTCAACACCGTCTTTTTCTCAAGCACTTCTATTCCACCTAACAATCTCAATAAAAAGGGGCAACATAAACTTCTTGAGTCAGCAGTAGTTACCTAGAATCAAAAGCACAATGCCCCATTCGATGTCATTTGGTATGCTATTTTGTCTGTTTCCATTGTAAAACCAAACCATATAACCAGCCTGTACTGAACCCAGGGGCTGGTTTTGGTTCGCTTCAGTCGTAGGTCCATAAGACAATCGTATGGTTAAAACAGAGTAATTGTTGTCTCGTAGCACAGTACAGTGATTGTACAGGTATGACATGACTTGAGGCATTTGGGTTTTACCCGGTGACAGTAGAACTGATGGTGGAAATGTTTTTCTGAATATGACGGACCTTAAAATAGCGTACCAAACCACATCGTCCCATGCCGATGGGAAATGAGGCGCAAATAATCACTAATACAACAGTTTTGTGACTCATTCAAGACGTCAAGCTGAGAGGTTCAGTTGCTAAAGAGAAGGTTTCAGCCTGTAAATATCTAAATTAGAGGAGGAGAGATTCATGACTTCGACAATGCAGAGCTTGATCGCCGCTGGCAGCAGCAAGGGGAAGACTTACTCGACCGGGTAAACACAATGTCTGCCTGTGTCTTGCTTAAATATTGCAACCACACTGAAAGAAAAGGAGTTTCAAAATTAGTAGTTTTGGCAAACTATTGAAACATTTTAAAAAGTTATAAAACATCATATTTGTGCCACAGCTAAAACTTTCAGCCATGTGTGAACACGCAACTGTTTTTCTTCGACTTTCAAAACAAGCTGTTCAGCTGCACAGGTACACAAACAAACAGGCTTCTCCATTGTTGGTGAAAAGGGCAAGATGTAATTTCTGTTTTGTCCTCTGAACAAGCAACAAAAACACAAGTTAACCTTTGAATCATATTGTCCTCAGACAAAAAGAAAGGAAGTGTGGCTTTGTTAATGCTGTCAGATTTATAATGCAAATCATTGGTTAGATTACACAGAGATTAATGCCAGTGGGCAGTTGCTTGATTTAAATATACTTTTTTCAACATCAGATGTAAATAAGACCGAATGCTGACTGAAGAATTTTTGTATTTGAAGCTTTAAAGCCAGTTGAATGAGTTGCCTTCATATCCTTCACACCTATATTCATCAAAAAAGTTCAGGTTTCCATACTTTGATGACATTATGTACTTTGACTGCCAGTAGCAAGTCTCTCGAACGCAGTAACTGCTATGGTAGTGGCAACAACATGCAACTATCCCAAAAGACTTCTGAAAAATTTGGAGGTCCATTTTTCAACAGAACATGTAGCAAAAGCTACGATAAACTGCTTAGATCAAACCATATTCATCTGTTAGATTGGCTCTGTCAAAGTCCAGACGTAAATCCAATTGAGAATCCAAATCCAATTTCACCAAATCTCCCCATCAGTAGATAAGCTTCAGCTTTTTTTGCGAATATTTTTAGCCTTTAGATTTTCAGAGCTGATAGAAACATAAGCAGCTGTGACTGTTACATGAGGCGGTTCTGCAAAGGATAAAGCATCATGTATCCACCACTTCATATAGTTATGTGCACAACATATATTTTCAGCTGTGCAAATATTGCGAGAAAATGTAAAAACTTTCAAACTTCAACAAAGGCACTGCAAAAATCCTCTGCTCCTCACCCCAGGATCTTTGAAAAAATAAAAAAATAAAAAAATGAAATGAGCTAAAAAATTACTGATCATTTTACAGGACTTCTCAGACGCTCGCAGGCAGGTTGATCTCTCTCTATGTGTTTTGCCAAATGGAATAAGTTGAACAGTGTGAGCGTTTCCATGCGGCTTGCTGTAACCTGTCTTGTCCGCGGACATCTACATCCTGTTGACATAGAAATGAAGCAATTGTGTTGTGGAATTTCACGCCGCTTGCGGTGTTTTGTGGTGAAACCAGGGCTCTTGCGGACCGCTCTCCCGTTAGCGCCGAGTTGGAGGCTGAAGGTTGGCCGCCAGCCTGCGGCCAGGGCATCGCTCAGACTGGTGCTGATGTTGCAAACAGCGGCTTCCAGATCGACCGACCCCCTTTTCCCTCCGCCCCCCATCAGCGATGCTCGCTGCAAACACATCGCTACAGTTGTAATACCACATGAACAGATCTGTGGGAAGCACCCCTCGTCTGGCCTTACCCACCACCACCCCGCACCCTCTGCACTCTGTTCACTAAAACGTCGCCATCCGACACGCAGGAAACGAACCACATCGCATTGTTTGGGTAGAAAACGCAGAACTTACGCGCTCCAGCTGATCGATCCGTGGATGGCATCCCTTTTTTTCTTTTTTTTTTTTTTTTCACCCCAGTCGGTGGAGGCTTAGCTCCTCCTAAAGCAAAAACAAAAAAACGCGTCCTCACTTATTGTTGTTCTCTTATTTAATGTGACGTGGCGGCGGGTCCAGGTGGAAGCCCGCTCCGCTCCTCTCGTGGCGCGGCTCAGCGCGCCTCCCGGAGATGCTGCCGAGCAGGACTGAGAAGCTCCACTAATGTGGGATGATGATGATGATGCTGATGCTGTCGCGGGAATACGAGCGTTAGTTTCCTCCTAACGAGAACATGCACCGCCTGAGTCACCGCGTATTTTCCAGGCAGAGTCCAACCTGACACTGGAGTGGAAGGTTATTTATGAAACAAGTCGGGCTGGAATTTTAATTTGAACAGCATTCTTCATCCTCCACGGGGGTTGAAAACAATATATATAATAAAACAAAATAAAAAAGCATGAATCTATTTATAGCCCACGCTTTTCCAACAGCTTACATTTAAAGACACATGCCTCTTCCAAATGCTCCATCCTCCATACATCAGCTTTGTTTGTTTTCACACCTTCTGCTTGCAGGACTGTGAGGAAAAAACGTGGCTGGAGTTGTTGGCACCGGATCCACAGCGAAGCGCCGGGATCTGCAGGCGTCTTTCACAGCCATGGGAATAATGTGGGTCAATGCCCCACTTATGTGAAACACAAACTGTCGTCTTACTTCTTCCCCCCCACATACTGGGGGTTTTATTTTCAATAAAGTTTTTCTTTTCTTTTTTTTAATTATTCATTAATTAAATAGAAATGGAGAAATGCATTTTATTGCTTTAAAGAATGAATGCTGCAATAACAACAACAATTGGTTTATTTATTTTCTTGTATTGATGCAATTTAAATTAGACAATAAGTCAGAGTATTAAATCATTTTGACATTTAAGAAATATATGAGTTTAAAAATGTCAATAACATCCAGCCCCTCTTTATTCTGACACTCATAAATAAAATGTATCCCCCAGTTTATTGACAGAAGCTTCATTTTTGATTAACCCTGGATGTGGATAAATCTCATGACAAATTACAAAAACATCAGACTAAACTTTGGAATCCATGATACCTTGCACAAGTATTGGTACCTTTAAAATTTTCAAAATGTTTTACGTTTTTGAGCAAAACTGAGCATTGAAAAACTCCATGGCAAAATGGGGAGATGGTTTATTTTGTTAAGCCATTTCGTTCATCAACTGAAAACGAAGAGTATGGCATAGCTCCAAACCGACCAAAATGCTCAACAAGAGCATTAAGATGGGAGAATCTCTTAATAGTACAACTAGGCATTATACATTCTTCAAAACTAACCTTTGTGTCGATCGGAGAACACAGAAACTGAGTGAAAACCAACATTTGTTCAAGTAAGAAGGAAGCATAGATGTGAAAACTAGAAAATTCCTGAAGAAATTTAACCGCGGCCTTCCAAAGTGTGCCTGTCGGTTTGGACCCAGCGTTCTGATACTAAACATTAGCATCCATGCTAAAGAAAGCATGACTTGTTGTCACAAGCATGACTTACTGCATTCAGTATACTAAACATGGGTAATAAGTAAGAGAAATAGCTAATACCTCATTTAAGGTAAAATGCTAACGCTCTGCCTTGCTGTGCAAGACAGAGCTCTAACTGAGTGAAAAAGATCATGCAGAATGATCTTATTGCACTGTCCACGGCAGTGCCCTAGTGGGGAACAGTGAAATGCTAATGTTTGTGCTAATGTTAATACATTCATTAACATTAATACATTCTATTAGGTGAAGAACAATAGGTGCCTCCATGCATTGCTAAGGGCAGGCCCCAAAAAGAGCCATTTAGCTTACAGACGTTGAGACAGCGGTATCTTACCAACAGCACGTGCAGACAGCGGTATCTTAGCAAAGGCACGTGCAGACAGCGGTATCTTAGCAACGGCACTAACAGCAGAGCTAACAACGGAATTTATTAACATTCGGAGCGTCGAAAAGAACTAACAGCTTTCTGAAAGTTGTTAAACTCATTTACAATCTACAAGTGTGTACATATTTAGATACTCATACCTGAACAAGGGGAGTATTTTAAGAAAAGAGCCGGACACGGTGCTTTTGCTCGAAGGAGGAAGTTCCGGTGCTCTTCACTAGACTCCCCCTGCTGGTCGAATCTGACCACTGCTTCAGCCAAACCAGACTAGTCAGCAGTTCATAGTTACCGGGAAAAGGACAAATAGTTTCTTCCTCTTTTGGTCCCAAACAGAGGAAAATGAAGATGCTGTTGCATCCATGAAGACAAACTGTAAACTGTGAGAAATGAACCAGCAGGGGGTTGAACCGGAAGCAGTATGAGCTGCACAAACCAGGCGCTGAAATAAAACCTGATGGCTGCAGACGCGCAGAAATAGACAGTCTGGACGAGACATGCGCAGTAGAGAGGCTGCTGATGCAACGTGACTTGTTACGTCAGCAAGACATAAGACTAGTTCGGGCCGCTTGATGCTTATGACGTGTGAACTGACGTCATAGCAGGCTCTATAGTTGCTCATTCTTGGTCTCCATCTTCACTTTGCACTTGTTCGTCGTAAAGCTCAGATCTCTTGTTCTAGTTATCTTAGCAGTTGAACTCACCAACAGAGGAATCATGGCCAGCAGTTCTGCACCCGTAGAGACTGTATCCGTGGAAGCCCTGGAGGCCGTGGTCGACCGCCTCTTCATCAACATGACCCCAGAGGAGTGGCTGAGACTGGAGGCTGGGAACCCAGCACCCAGCACCAGCTGCACTCTGGGGGACATTTGTGGAGAGATCTTAGAAATATTTACGTCCAACGTTCTGAGAAATCTCCACAAACAACAATTTACTATCGAGTCCTTGGAGGCGGCCGTGGGGAACAAAGTCCCAGAAACCTTTGTGGAAATTATGGGCGTCGGTGGAGAATACCGCTCTGAGCACGCAGAGTATTTAAACCGGCTAATTGTGAAATATCTGTTACATCAAATCTATCACAGCCTGGACTCAGACTCAGATGATCCTCCGAGGAATCATGCCGACCAGGGACCTCTGAAAGCCGTAGTCAGGTATATGGTTGAGGAATCAATGTCGATCATTAAGGACCTCATGGATAGACTGCATACATCCGATGAGGAACCCAAGACAGTAACTGTCAACAACCCAGTTCAGCCTGAAGACGGAGAAAAAGAGACGGAGAAGACGAGTGCTGAGCCAAAATCAAGGCTCAAAGTTATGATGAGGAACATCAAGAGCTTTTTCAGGAAATTTGCACAGAAACATTCAGCTAAGGTGACTCCACTGAACGCACCACAGACCTGTCCAAATCTTCAGACTATTCAGTGAAATCCGCTGACTTTGATTAAAGAGGCTTTTAAGTAAGCAACAAAAAACCCTCAGAGAAAAAACCAGCAGAGGCTTTAAATGTGGATCGGAGTGAATAACAGCCTCTTTGACCAGTGAAACACTTAGGAAAAATTAGAATAGTTAGCTCTTTTTAACTTAGTATTTAAATAGTTAGCTCTTTTTAAACTTAGTAGTTAGGCCATGTTAAACTTAGTTTGTAGTTAGGGTTTTTTAATACTTAGTAGTTAGGTCTTTTTTATAATTGTTAATGGTTAGTTAGGTCTTTTTATAATTGTAAATGGTTAGTTAGGTCTTTTTATAATTATTAATGTTCAGTAGTTAGTTCTTCTTTTTATAATTGTTAATGTTCAATAGTTAGTTCTTTTTATAATTGTTAATGGTTAGTTAGATCTTTTTATAATTGTAAATGGTTAGTTAGGTCTTTTTATAATTATTAATGTTCAGTAGTTAGTTCTTCTTTTTATAATTGTTAATGGTTAGTTAGGTTTTTTTATAATTGTTAATGTTCAGTAGTTAGTTCTTTTTATAATTGTTAATGTTCAGTAGTTAGTTCTTTTTATAATTGTTAATGGTTAGTTAGATCTTTTTATAATTGTTAATGTTCAGTAGTTAGTTCTTTTTATAATTGTTAATGGTTAGTTAGGTCTTTTTATACTTAGTAGTTCATTTTAAATTTAGTTAGCATTTAGGTCTTTTCAAACTTGTTCGTGTTAAGTAGTTAGATTATTATAATTCTCTCACAATGAAATTTTAATGACCTCATTATAACGAGATATTTATAATGAGGTTATTGAGATACTATATTAAGATAGTATCTCATAATAACATTATAATTGTCATGGTGGGTTTTAAAAGTCGAACCCACATGCAGAAAACACTCACAGAGAGGAGTAAATGCAATAGTTTATTTACAGAATTTACAAGTTATTGCAAAAGAGTGATGACAAGTCTTAGGAAAATCCGGAATGGTTGGAGGCTGAGGCTCAGGATCGGCAGAGAGGAGTGGGTTCCAGGTAAGGGTATCGCCGGGGGGGGGGGGGGTGGCGTAGGAAGGGTGCTGGTGTTGGAGGGCGGACAGGTAGACGAAGTAGGAGGCTCCGAGGACCGAGGGGCAGAGCGGCAGCCAACTAGAGAGAGATCCTCCACAAGACGGTCCTAGGCCAGAAAACTTGAGAAGCCTTCTCTGGAGTCTCTCGTAGGGGTCCACTATAGGCAACACTCTGGCAGGGAAGTGCTGGCAACCCGCTGCTTATATCCTCCTCCTGGGAGATGGTAATGAACCTCAGGTGCCTCCTGTTAAGCCTGTCAGCACACCCTCCTGTCAAGGCATGAAGCACTGGCGCCCCCTCCTGGATAGTTGGAGATGCTGAAAAATTAAAACAAAACCCTCCCCAACCTGGTACCCAACAGTACCCCCCCCTCAACGACCGCCACCCGGCGGTCCAGAAGAACCAGAGGGTTGGGAGGAACGAAAATCAGTGATAAGGGAGGGATCCAGAATAAAAGAACTGGGCACCCATAACCGGTCCTCAGGGCCGTAGCCCTCCCAGTCTACTAAATATTGCCAACCCCGCCCACGCCGGCGAGACCCCACAATCCGGCGGACAGTATATGCTGGGTGGCCGTCGATCTCGCGTGGGGGGGGGGGGTGGGGGGGGGGGCTCCTCAGGTGGGCACAACGGGCTGGGGCGCACTGGCTTAACTTGAGAAACATGGAAAGTAGGATGAACACGGAGGGAAGACGGCAGGCGCAGGCGGACGGCAGATGGACCAATGACCTTCTCAATAACATATGGACCAATGAAACGGGGGGCCAGTTTTCTGGAAACAGATTTCAACGGAATGTCCCTGGCGGAGAGCCAAACCTTCTGACCTGGTTCGTAGGTGGGGGCAGCCCTCCTCTTGCAATCGGCCCAGCGACAATTCTGCTCCGCTGTGCGATTAAGAGCAGCAACAGTCTTGTCCCAGATGGCCCTGCATCGCCAGATGTGATGCTGAACTGACGTGACAGCAATGTCCTCCTCATCAGCCGGAAACAGGGGAGGTTGGTAGCCTAGAGAGACCTCAAAAGGGGTCAAACCCGTAGCAGTGGAAGTGTGTGAATTGTGGGCATACTCTACCCAGGACAGGTGACGGCTCCAGTCGGCAGGGTCGGACGCAGTGAGGCATCTGAGAGTGGCCTCCATCTCCTGGTTCATGCGCTCGACCTGGCCGTTCGACTGTGGGTGATAACCAGACGTAAGAGAAACCTTGGCCCCCAATGCTGCACAGAAATGTCTCCACACTTGCGCCGAGAACTGAGGACCTCGGTCTGACAGAATGTCGAGGGGGATACCATGCAAACGGAAAACATGCTCGACCAGGAGCTGGGCAGTTTGGAAAGCCGAAGGTAATTTCCTCAGGGGAATCAAATGGCAGGCCTTAGAAAACCGGTCAATAATAGTGAGGATAGTGGTCATCCCTTTAGAGGAAGGGAGACCAGTGACAAAATCCACAGCTATGTGGGACCAAGGCCGTTTAGGTGTAGGCAACGGTTGCAGTAGACCGGCTGGGGGCTGATGGGTGGGTTTACAACGGGCACAGACGGAACATGCCAAAACGAACTCCCTCACATCCCTGTGAAGAGACGGCCACCAAAAACGACGAGAAGCCAGGGCTATGGTCCTGCTAATGCCGGGGTGGGCTGAAAATTTTGAAGAATGTAGCCAAGTGATTACACGAGCTCGCATGGCCGAGGGAACATAGATTTTGCCGGGGGGACCCACACCCGGATCTGGCTCTGATTGTTGTGCTTGTTTAACCAAGTCCTCAATCTCCCAGGTAACCACAGCCACAGAACAGCTCGGAGGGAGGATAGGTGCAGGGAGTTTGTCAGCGTCATCAGGAGAGTATAATCTGGACAAGGCATCTGGCTTGATATTCTTGGAGCCTGGGCGAAAAGAGATGGACAGATTGAAACGTGAAAAGAACAAAGACCAGCGGGATTGACGAGCGTTCAGCCTCCTAGCGGACTGCAGGTAGGCCAAATTCTTATGGTCTGTCCACACCACGACTGGGTGTTCTGCTCCCTCCAGCCAGTGTCTCCATTCCTCCAGCGCCAACTTTATGGCAAGCAGCTCTCGGTCCCCGACGTCGTAGTTTCTCTCAGCTGGAGAGAGTCTGCGAGAGAAGAAAGCACAAGGATGGGTTTTATGATCTTGGTCCGAGAGTTGAGAAAGCACAGCTCCCACACCGGAGTCTGAGGCGTCCACCTCTACAATAAACTGTTTAGTGGGATCTGGCTGGATGAGAACAGGAGCTTTTGCAAAAAGAGACTTCAATCTGTTGAAAGCTACCTCGGCTTCTGGGGACCAACAGTATGGGGTCTTTGTGGAGGTCAAAGCAGTTAAAGGCTGAGCAGTCTGGCTGTAATTGCGTATGAAACGTCGGTAAAAGTTAGCAAAACCTAGAAACCTCTGTAGTTGTTTCCTGGTTTCAGGGGTCGGCCATTCCAAAACCGCCTTAATCTTCTCCTTAGTGGGTCTTACCTGTCTGCCCTCAAGAATGTAGCCCAGGAAGGTGATCGATGCTTGGTGGAATTCACATTTCTCAGCCTTCACAAATAACTTGTTCTCGAGGAGGCGCTGAAGGACCAGACGGACGTGTTTCTTGTGTTCGGGCACATTCTTGGAATAAATCAGAATATCGTCGAGGTAGACAAAGACAAAGACGTTCAAAAAATCCCTTAAAACGTCATTCACCAGTGCCTGGAAGTAGGCCGGGGCATTGGTTAACCCGAATGGCATGACCAAGTACTCAAACTGACCCATAGGGGTCTTGAAGGCCGTCTTCCACTCGTCTCCCTCCCTAATGCGAAGAAGGTGATAGGCGTTTCGTAAATCAAGTTTCGAAAACACAGTGGCCCCATGGACTGGTTCGAAAGCTGAAGATAGGAGTGGCAGTGGATACTTATTTTTAATGGTGATTTGGTTCAGACCTCTATAAT